AAGTTAGGATAGCCGTGTTGATCGCTAACATCCGTAATGGATGGGCAAGATAAGAAGAAGTAGAACATGATTTTATCTGAGTCCATTCACGAATGTTTTTTAAACAAAAGCATTGTAGATATTACACGTTCAATTAGGCCATTATGAAAATACAGTTAATAAAATTTTTTGATAATTTCATGTAAAGCAAATTGAGTCCGTTAAAATCTTAAACAGAATTTAAAAAAAAGTCTCAAACATTTTGATAACGCCGTAATAATTTGAATATATATTTCGTTAAATTACAAATTTAAATTGGAATTAAGATTAAATTAATTTCGGTACTGGAGCAAACCACACAATTTTCCACAATGATTAATTTTCCAATTGGGCCTTAAAATCGAGCCATGGCGTTGGTTCTGCTGCCTCTAGTGAAAATGTTATTAAAAAACTTATCATCCGCTCCAGCGGCATAATTTTGTCATAGCTGTACGCATTAAACGTGTGCTGAATTTCGAACATGACGCCGGAGAACTATTGAATAACCAAAATTCACCCGAGAATACCCGGAATGACATATTTCATAAGGTTGGATTTAGCACGCTCGAAATGCGATTCACTTGTAATTTTCTCTGTAGAAGAAACCCCTATGCTGTATAATTGCGAATTTCTGTGAGTGGGGATCATGCGCACACCGAAAATCAATAACTACCACCTTTCCAAGGGATCAACTTCTAAAATAACGCATCTAACAGCGAGAACTTTCGACGCTTTGTTAGAAATGCAGCTTTGGCTCTTTTTCCTGTACGTTATGCACGTCCCATTTTATTCACGTTTTATATCCCGATGATCACGGCATCGAATCATTGATTTTACGCTTCCTATACACTTAAAATTCGAAATTGCATTTTAAAATTCAATAGTCAGATCTTCTAAATACTTAATCTTCTAAATTACAAACTTTTTTGGAACAAAATCTTCCAATAAGTCAAAATCGTTTAATTTTTAGGCTGGTTACGAATTAAGCAAAATTATTTACTCTTTGGTTCTAAATATTGTAACAAAATATTATCAGTGACCAAAAATCAAACCAGTAATCTCTCAAAAGATTTATTATTAAGCTTTATTGATCTTCAAAAACCATTTCATAGGTAACTACAATAAAGGCATTTAACTTTAGATTGTTAAAAATCATCAACAGAAAAACTTTGGGTTAATACAGAAAATATCCATCTAATTTTTCTTCTGAAATTATTTGCTTTTGTGATATTTGTTTATACCAAAAATCTTTCTTCGGGAATACGCCAAAAAAGGATTATTAACGATTTGAAAACTATTTTAAAATTTTTTCCACTGTTTTTGAAGTGAAAAGAAATAGATATTATTTGAAACACTGAATTAGTTTTGCTTCTATCAGACATTTATCAAAAGTCAATAATTTTGAGGACCATAACGTGACCGGAGCAGACCAGGTTGCGTCTTTTTATTCTTCTCCTTCATCTTCTTCCTCTTTATAAGCAATTATGCTTCTTCATTGGCGGATTAACACCTCTATGGAAAGTTGTCACTCCATCTTTTGCGCGGTCGTCCGATACTTCTGCGATTGCTGACTTATCTCTGACTATTTTGACGACACGAGTCTCCTCCATTCTACTTATGTAGTTATTTCATTTTTTTTTCTATTTTGTGTCCATTTATTTATGCACTTTACGTTACATTTTCTTCTAATGTCTTCGCTTCTCTTTCGATCTCTCAGCGTAGTTCATGTCAGTGTGAAATAAAAAAATATAATAAATAGTTGAAAAGGACAAGATGGTGGGATAAAGAAGTGAAGACAGAAATAAAAAAGAAGAAAATAGCATAAAAAAATACATCGAAACGGGATTAGAAGAAGATAAAGAAAAATACTATAGGCAGAGACGAAAGGTAAAAAAGACAGTCACACAAGCAAAGCTAAAACATGGAAAGAATTTGGAGAAGAACTTCAGGAAGAATATGTAACAAATTATAGAAACTTTTGGACGACAATACGACACATAAGGCAAGGAAAACGAAAGAAAATAAACGCAGTAAGAGATACTTCAAACCAAATACAAATAAACCCAGAACAAGTAGCTAGGGTATGGAAAGAATATTATGAGAAAAAAATTGATACCGAAGTGATAAAAGAAGACAATATAATTAATGAAGGCGAAGAAAACACAGAGCTAGAGCAAATAAGTAAGGAAGAAGTAATAGAAGGATTATCAAATATAAAAATAGGCAAGGCAGGTGGAGATGATGAAATTGAACCGGAAATGGCGAAATACATGGGAGAAGAAGGAATAAACTGGCTATGGAAAATATATATAGAGGCGTGGGAAAAACAAACAATCCCTACTAAAGACTGGCAGAACAATATCATCGTGTCAATATACAAAAAAGGAGAATATGTAAACTGACAACTATAGAGCAATATGTCTGTCATCGGTTATGCTTTAAAATATAATACTAAAATAATAGAGAATAAACGGAGACAAGAATATACCAATTAGCAACCTACGCTATGCGGACGACACAGTGATTATAACTGATAATTTGGAGATCAGCAGTTATTACTTGATAGGGTGAATAGCATAGGTAAAAAATATGGCCTCAAAATCAACATTTTGAAAACGAAATATATGGTCATTAGCAGAAACCCTCCAGAAAACCCGATAATATGCATAGGTGACAATCGTATAAATCGCGTGAAAACTTTTAAATACCTTGGCACCACAATCAATGACCAATCGGATCCACAAACACGAGATAAAAACCCGAATACAAATGGCAAGACAAGCTTTTGTGAAATTCCAGACCGCTCCTATGTAATCAACACCTAAACTTCGAAATACGCTACAGAATGGTCAAGTGCTACATATGGTCCATCTTGCTTTATGGTATGGAAACGTGGACTTTGAAAAAAACATCTATCAACAAACTTCAAGCATTTGAAATGTGGTCATTGAGAAGAATGATGCGCATACCTTGGGTGGATAGAGTTCGAAACGATGACGTCCTTAATAGAGCCGGCGTGGAAAGGGAACTCTTTGAATTAATTAAAAAAGCAAGATTGGTTACCTTGGGCACATATTGAGAGGAGCTAAAATATGAAATACCACAGTTAATCCTACAAGGGAAGATCGAAGGTAGGAGAGGAGCCGGCCGCAAACAATTATCCTGGTTAAGGAATATTAAAGAATGGACAGGAATACACAATACAGGTGAGCTGTGTCCACGCCGCCAAGAACAGAATTCTAGTAATGATATAGTCGCCTACGCACTTTGGTGTATGGCATGTAAGAAAAAGAAGGAGACAAGAAGTAGAAATGGTATTGGGAGAAGAACAAACGGCATTTAGTCCGGGAAGACAGACAAATGACAACATATATATCATTAGAAACCTAATAGAAAGAAGCATAGATACGGGTGAAAAACTAGTATTAGCATTCATAGACCTAAGAGCAGCATTTGACACGATAGAAAGACATATTATAGGGAAATGATTGAGGAAAATAAATGTACCTAATGCATTGATAAAAATTTGTATAATAAGTATTAAACAAAGAGATAGTCTCAGCCCTTTGCTATTCATAATAGTAATGAACGAATTGATAAGAAACACTAGAGTCAGAACCAATCAATTACAGACAATAATAGGTTACCAAAGATTACAACCGGTAACAATAGAGTCCTTAATGTATGCAGACGACATAGTACTAATAGCAGATTCCGAGAATAAAATGCAGAAACTAATGGATATATGGGTAGAACAAATAGAAGAACTAAAAATGGAGATAAACGGGAAAAAAGTAAGATAATGATAATCAGCGGCAAAGGAGATAAGGAAGATAATCAAATAAAGATGAAATGTAAAAACTCAGAATTGGAAATAGTGACAACTTACGAATACTTGCGAAGTATAATAACAGAAAAATAGACTGAAAAATAACAAATAGAGCTAAGAAATAGTTCGAATGGTGCGTCCATTCTGCGTCCTTCTTATTCAATAGCGACATCTGATATTAAAATCCGTAAACTATTTTTCGAAACTAAATTCAGATTTTTGGTTTAATCTGTGCCTTCTAAGAATTGCAAGGCAAAACAGACGTTGATAAAGGTGTTATTTAGTTACCTAATTTTAGTTACGTCTGTTTTGCCTTGCAATTCTTAGAAGGCACAGCAAAAATCTGAATTTGGTTTCGAAAAATAGTTTACGAATTTTAATATCAGATGTCGCTATTTGCGTCCATTCGAAGCCATATTAGAGTTGCTTCCTAAGACAGAAGAGATTTATTTTCACGTTCAGAGCGACTATAAATTGCCGTTCTGATAAGGCCTATTAGGCCGAAATGCACTATACGTAAAATCAAATTTTAACTGTCTTTTCCTTTTATTATTATTCTGTTTATTCAATAGTTTTCATTAAGTTGGACCAACTAATATGGGAAGTGGTTCGAATGTTATCAAAAAAAACTAATCAAATACTTGGCTATTGAGATGTCCTGAGAAAAACTTGAATAAAGGTGGAAGAGTAGCGTTAACATTATACAGCTTTGTCGCAATTTCCTTTTCATATTTATTGCATACGTTAATTTGATCAAATAGTATAATTTCTTATTTCGATTCGGCAAATCTCTAATTTTTCCTATATCATTTAGGCACCAGTACCATTTATATCTCGGACATATTGCACGTGGAGAGAATACACCTTGCTCCAACTGATTATGCAGGGAAAGATCCAAGGAAAGAGAAGCATAGGGAGGCGTAGAATGTCATGGCTGCGCAACCTGAAAGAGTGTACGATGTCATCAATGAACTTTCGCAGTCGAGCTTATTCCGCCTCGCCGCGGAGATGGCACTCAAAGAAGACCATTTGTTGATAGGTTTTGCTGAAGACTTTCTGCATACAGTTTTGCACTCTCTTTCTTAATATCAAAGAAAGCTTAGACAATTTATTATACAATACCTTTTGCTAGATTACTAATATTATTTCTTACCATTTATTTTTTACTTGGTTCTACTAAATACCACAAAGAAAACTAAGCAAATAAAAGCTATAAAATAACCTACCGCACCACCTCTTCCTTTGCCCCTCCCTCTCCGTGATTCACCACGTAGGAAACCATCTTGATAAAGATTCTAAAACAAAATAAAAAGGAAAATAAATAAAAAGAAAAGAAAAAGCAAATGATAAGTTAACAGTAAAATAATATATAAAAAGCACAAAAATAAAAAAAATGTTTGAAAATTATAGCAATATTTTAACTTCAAATATCTCGAAAAATAATGGCTTTATCATTACAAATGATATGTAGTATTATTAGTTATATATAGCATAAGAGTATATTTTAAAAAAGTTTTGAAAAATTTTAAAAAATAATAATTCCGCAAGTGGCGTAGAATTTGGGAAGGGTCAACTATCCACTTTTTCTTGTCGTACGTCTCTGATAGTAGTACGAAAAGTTTATTTAACATAATTTAGTAAGATATATAGTATCTACACTTCCTGCCAAGTATGGCAAGGATATATTAAATAGTTTAAAGGGCTGGGTACAAATAGTTTTGAAATTTTTAAATAAAATACTTGTAGCTCAGTAAGGAGCCACATTTTATTTAAGTGATTTGGGTTAAGCCTTAATATTTTGAGCCCAGGAATCCACAGTTAAAATATTTTCAATTATTATTGAAACACCCTGTATAAGTTCGTTAGCTTTAGTTTTCATCAATTTATATTTCCAAAGTTTATTTAGCAGCACTCTGTATATACAAATATAATTTTGGATACAAGAAGCTCTATGAAGTATACTCAAAACGGGTATAATAATACTCAAATACCAACAATCAAATCACAATATTAATATTAAAAAGGGAATCATTAAATCCTTATACGATAGAGCCAAAATTACATGTTCTAACGAAAATTAGTTCTTGGAGGAAAAACATTTGTTAACATCTGTTTTATTAAAAAATGATTATCCTTTATTGTTTATAAATAAGGAATTTTCAACAATCGACCGAATATAACAGAACAACTTAACGAGATCCTACAGCATACACAAGGAATAATACGAGGAAAATAACAATACCATACATAAAATGATTATCAGAAAAACTTAAAAGGATAGGAAATAAATTCAACATTTCAACAACATCCAAAACAACAAACACATTGAGATCTATTTTGTCTAAAACCAAACCTAACAATGAACAAGAAATGACAAAGAATTGCATTTATAAAATACCTTGTGAATGCGATCAGTTTTATTTAGGTGAAACATCAAGGCCATTAAATGTTAGAATAAGTGAACATCAACCTTATATTAAAAATAGAGAATTTGATAGATCGCAAATATGTAAACACGCATGGGATAATGAACACAGGGTTCAATGGAATAATTCAAATATAGTCCTAAAAGAAACGGATGGTAAAAAGAGAAAAATCAAAGAAGCTGCTCTAATTACGCTAAATGAGATCAATTGTGTCGCAAATTCCTCAGCAGAATGTAGTAGGATCTGGTTATCCATATTGAAAGAGCAAGTTGTTAAAAGGAAAATACCAGTTAGTAAGTCAGTAACATATAGAGGATAGATCATTTATGTTTTTTAAATAACAAACATGTAAAATCAAAATTTGGTGTTTATTGAAAGTAAACTAAATGGATTCGCAAAGAAAAAAAAAGAAAGAAAAATAAAAACCAGGCTTAACAATTTGATCAAACGAGAGATAAAGAAAATGGAGAGAAATTAGAGGCAAGTGATATTAATTGGAAGGGAATTTAAGTGACCGGATGGTGAAGCTGGTTAACTAAAATTTAGTGAGTGAGAGAGAGATAGAGAACAATAAGAGGATGAGAAGGGAATGGAGATCGGCTGGCTTTTCGTGCTGTGTTAGAAGAAGAAAATAGATGATGATAAAGAAAATATTAAACGATCAACAAGACGTAAAAAGAATCAGGAGGAAAATATAACAAAGGTGATATTTTTCAATTTGTTGTCAACATTATGATTATTATAATTTGTCTTCATTTCGTTAACATTTTTATCATTCAAAAAATGCATTTAAAATGATTATGATCAATACAACCATCATAATTAGCTTAATGAGAGATAGAACCTTTTTAAAAAGTGATTAATGATCGTAGCATATGGTGAATAAAACCTTTACATTTTTCATTATGATTTAAGGATATTTCGATAATGGTTTCAGCTGTACCACAAATAACTGAAAAAAAAAATTAAAATTATTCAAAATTACGCGCCGCAGTCGACCTAATAATACTCGGCTAGATGAAATTTCAAGAAAAGATCTGAACCGCGGATATAGTGTGTGAATAAACTTGCCATATTGGGTGCAAGTGGTAGAGAACCGTCTGTCTGAGTATATATCCGGTAGCCAACCAGGTGCGCCGTTATATCAAGGGCTGTCCAAACAACCAACGTTCATATAAAAAATAGTACCGAATGTACCAGGTGATTTCAATATATCAGAGAAAAGTCAATGACTTTATTGTTTTCATAACAAAGTTTAAGTGACGGTTTTTAAATTTGATTATTAATGTTTTTTAAATAAACTAGATATATGATTCTTTTTCGGCCTTTTTATTGTGTATATACAGAAACAGATATAGATTCATTTTCATTTTTATTCCCGACATAATATCCAAAAATTAATTCAATATTAATTGAATCGGTATGATTATAATTTCAGTGCTTCAATTAATTATTTGGATATGATTCTCGATCGCAAGCTAACTTAGACTTCACGTTGATATAAAAAAGGTCTAAATTTCCTCAAATCAATTACAAAAACTTGGTGGGGTACAGACGTAGAAACTTCGGTTTTCGTGTATATTAGATCAATTATCAGCTATAAATGGGTATAACACGACTTAGCAAGTAAACGTACCCAGAAAACAATAGATGTGTTTCAAAATGTAGTATATGTGGAAGATTTAGAAAATCCCTTGGATTATAGAAGATAATACTTTATTATTCGCATAAGTTATCGTAATTCTACCCAACTATCAAACTGATAAAGTAGATTTACCTAAGCGATACTAGAGACTTTATTTTGTGCAGGTGAGTAGTTTGGATCTACTTAAAAGCTATTAAGCTACATCCTGGTTTTCTACATGACTAACTTGACTCAGTATGTAACGATGGATTTACCAACACAAGCTTTTAACTATTTTGTCTTCCGAAGGACTTCCCATTAAGAGGAAGGTCTATGAAAAATCCTTCTAGACTTTAACGATGCATGGAATTGATTCAGCTGATGGACTATCCATAAAAATTTTCTCAAATCTCCCAAATAGTGTGTTCTCACTAATTAACGATTTCTTTAAAAAAGATATACTCCAGAGTGCCTTAAGACAGCCATTATTATTCCTCTTTATAAGGGTGGTAAAAATCGAACACCTGCAACTATAGACCTTATAAAAGAACTTATAAAAGCCCGACTTATGTCCTTTCTCGTCGTTGAAAACAACGTTTTATCAGAAAATTGAAAAAAACAACAACTGGTTAGAGCAAATGATATTGACAAAAGCAGTGTATATGAAGTACCACAAGGTTCGGTATTAAGTAATTTACGTTTCCTAATCTTTATAAATGATACCACTTATTTAAAAATCAATTGAAACATTTTTCTTTTTGATAATGATATCATCAACTTTGAGAAACTTTGATATTGCAACCCTTGATGCAACTATAATTTCTGATCTACTTAAAAGAGAAACCTGGTCCGACTTTAATTTACTCTCTTTTACCGTGTCAGCATCGCAGATAAGACAGTATCATTATCCTATCCTATATCACAAACAAGACATAGACGTTAATGATACACAATTTGGTTTTCGCAAAGGTCTAGGAACGCGTGATTTAAAATTGGAACGAAGAGTTAGATTAGCAAGGTGCTATGTTTTTTCGATTTTGTTTTATGGAATAGAATTTTGGACCTTGAATGCGACATCAATAAAAAAAACGGGAATCATTCAAGTTGAGGGTGTGTATAAAAGAAAATTGGAATCTCGGACATATTATACGTGGAGAGAAATACACCTTGCTCCAACTGATTACGAGGGTAAGATTCCAGGAAAGAGAAGCATAGGGAGGTGTAGAATGTCATGGCTGTGCAACCTGAGAGAGTGCTACGGATGTACATCAAATGAACTTTTCAGTGCAGCCGTCTCAAAAGTTCGAATAGCTATGATGATTGCCGACCTCTGCCGTGGAGATGGCACTTGAAGAAGAAGAAGATTATCCTACAAAGGAGCTCGTCAACCCTTTATTTTTAATAACAGTCAGATCAATATCGTTGATTGTTTAAAATTTCTTGGTAGTTTTATAGACAGCAACCTTAAATGGTCCATTTATATCGATTTGTTAAGTAAGAAGCTAGAATCAGCCTGTTATGCAATGAAATCTGTTTCGAAGTAAACTAATTAAGCATCTTCCAAAATAACATATTTTTCTTTGCTCCACTCTCATCTTCGATATGGTTTTTCTTATTGTGGTTCTAGTACAGCTGTCCAACCTAATGTTATTTTCAAATTACAAAAAAGAGCAACACGATATTTGTTTGGCTTCAGAAGAACAATCCATTGCAGAAACTACTATATGTCTATTACATTTAATTCTACTTAAACTCCAATTTTTATATATGGCAATATTCATTTTTATATATGCATCTTCGAAGGCATTTCATCTCTGTTAAAACTTACTTGAGGATGTTTTTTTTTGTTATTGTATATTATCTAATTTTCTGCCACATCGCAGATAAGTTTAGTGATTTGAAATGTACCTTAATTACTATACTCTTACTATCACTAAATATATGACTATAATATCTGCCATTTACCAGGTACCTGTTCACTTTTAATTTTCCATTTGATAATCGACTGTGGAAGACTGTACTGTCTTTAGTGCAAGTTATATCACAAATATCTTCTGTATATGTTATGAATATTGTTGCAGTTTACGAAGAAGAATGATTTCCTGG